CTGTTATTATGCATTCGCGCTTCTCAGAGTTTAATTACAACGCCGAAACTTTAAGCTATGTCACGGTAGATAATGGCGCATGCGTTACAACAAAACTGAGGCAAAATTTACAAGTCACTACATTCTTAAGCACTTTTTTAGGCAGTTTGCTATCAATGACAATGATGAATTGGCTGGGAAAAGCAACACAAAGTGCCATTCTATTTATTTATGTCGCTATAGTCTTCGTTTTGGGAATTTAAGACGTGGAAATCGCTTGTTGAAGTAAACCTTAAATGAGACAACCAGTTGCAAAAGTACTTGAGACACTGTACCGTATTTTGGCATAAATGGCCTGTCCATGATCTTGTGCTTGTGATCCCCCCTCCACCCCTTATCAAAGTTGCTAGCAATACAAGACCATACTCAAAACTTGGAGGAACAACTTTGAATGGGAGGGAGGAGGGAGGTCAGTATTATATTTTACAGACCTGTGACCAGAAGCGATTTGAAGCAAGAAAGGTCGTTTTTCCGTGGGAGTGTCTCATCATTTTTGCAATTGGTTGTAGCTCAATTTATGAACTACTATTAAAAATTTAATTAATTGATATGTACACTCCCTATACATTTTTTAAAAATTGGTGGTTTCAGTTGAGGTCAATTACTTCCACCTTTATTTTCTTTTTATTCCAACCCTTTAAGCTACACTATCCAAGTACAATTTTCCAGGGTAATCTTCAGCCAATTTAAGAAAGAGATGAGAGTTTCTTAAATTGCCATGACCTTTCCTGTGTTTGAGTATGTATACTATTGGTAGAAAATTAATATGGTCATTTTTGGAACTTAAAGGGTTATTCATTTATTTACTTCAATGAACTCTGATGGGAAATAGAGCTGTAATAGAGGTGGGCAGAACATAAAAGGGACTTACAAAATACATTTCAATTGTACATAACCACCTCAACTGTTAGGAATTCCTAAACCCCTTTAACTTTAAGGTCAAAATGCAAATTCTCCACCATGTTCTTCCCTTATTTCTTATTAATTTGATAATGACAGTTTAGTTGGGAAGCAGTGAATCTTAGGTGATCATTTAAATCTATTTCATGGAACTTCATGAGCTTTCAGTGCTATTTCTTGAAAAAATGGTTGATTGATAGGCTAACTGTGATCTTAATTTAAAATATTAAATGTGGAAATAAATTTGAGTAACGAAAACAAGGTGAAAATTACGGTGGCCCACAATGGTCACATCAAATACAAGTTACTCCCATTAAAAACAAATTGCTCACATCAAATACAAATTACTCACATCAAATACAAAATCCTGACATCAAAAACAAGATTAAACGGTCAGCGGTCAGAGAACGAAAACTGGCTCGGCCTTGACCCGACCGCCATTTTGTTCCTGCACATGGTTTTGTCGTCGGGATGTTTTGCAACATTTGCGGAAGAAATGTCGACAATTTCAACTATTGTGGCAACTGTGGGAAAGGTAAGTTAAAGCTGTAAACTAGTGGCAAACGACCAATTAAGGTCTACAAAGAGTTGACTTTGTAACTCAAATCAGAGGGCTCGCTCATTACACCTACCAGATCCCACACCTTTAATAGTGTACGTTTTATTTCGTCTCTCGCCTAAGGGCATCACACCTGATTCGTGACTGTGAGTTACTGTAGCCTAACTTCCCCATTTTATATAAGATTAAGGTGTGACTGGTCGGGTCATATTCGGCAGGAAATCTTCCAACTCCCAGAGTATTTGTTCAAGATCTTTTAAAGGAGATGGATCGCATCGCTTAAAAAGACGAGTATATCAGAATCCTGGGCCTAACTATTCCTGGCATATCGATGGATATGACAAAATTAAGTGTTGGGGCTTTCCTATCCATGGCGCCATTGATGGATTTAGCCGGAGGATTTTTTGGTTGGAAATTACTCATTCCAATAACTCACCAAACAAAATAGCCACTTATTACGCCAGAACAGTTTCAGAATTGGTTGTCCTGTAGAACTGATCACAGATTTGGGTACTGAAAATGGACTGGCAGCAGCTATGCAATCTTTCTTTCGTGATAACCCTGAAGCACATCGATACGTCTCTTCCCAAGGAATCAGAGAACTGAGGGCTGGTGGTCATATTCAAAAAATCATTGCGTATGGTCGAGAATTTGTTTTAGCAATTTTGAGTTTCAGGGTATCGTGGACACTACACCTGAGATAAGTCTGGAATGCTTGTGGTATTGTTTTACCAAAGTTCTGCAAAAAGAGCTTGATTCTGTGAAAGAGCAGTGGAACACACGCAGAATTCGAAAGTCAAGAAATGACACTGTACCAGGACGTCCAGACTCGCTTTTCTTCTTGCCTGACCTTCATGGTGCAAAGGATTGCCTACTTGATGTACCTGCTGCTAAAATTGAATTTGGTACACAGCATATAACTGAAGAGTTAGATGGCACTGACAATGAACATCAGGAATACTTTGATTATACTAGAATTAATCTTTCAATGCCTTTGCCAGACAATTGGCAAGAAGCACTTCAACTGTACAAAAAATTATGCATGCTGCCCTTCATGAGTATTCCACATAGTTTTGTCTACGTTCGTTAGCACAACCAGGAGCTTTGTGCATGTCAAAAAGGAAACAACTGTCATTTTCAGCGCAGGAATGGTACTGAACAAAGAATACTTATCAAAGTAATTGATTTCAATTAGAGCAGTTTTCAGTTCGGTATTGAAAATAGTTCTGTAATAATTTAAATTTTTCATAACTACACCCTGTCATTGGCTTGACAATCGTGTTACTTTCTCGACCAATCCGGCAGAAGTGAAATGAAAACCGACTCAGTCGCACATGTTTTCCGGCACTTGGCCCTGGCCACATGTATTTGCTACAAGTTTTGATTGCTTGATTCAATTGGCTGGTTATTTCCCACAGTAATACTTTGGTTTTGGCTTCACAACACAATAATTATTGAAAACCATTCCATTGTCGTATTCTGTTACTGTAACTTTGATTCTGGTCTTGAAACAAAGCAATTGCAGTTGACAATTTTCAAAAGGAAAAGACTAAATCAAATTTGACACGGTGTGCGTGAAAGAAAAAATGAATAACAGATCACCGCTCATCCTCTGTAGAAATGATAGTATTAAATTTCCAACGGTTGCACGTGTATTTGAAATTTGTGTCGTGTTGCAGGGTGGCATTTGGCGATTTTATCTGATGAGTGCTACACTAGTTGTATACTACTTAAAATGCCAAGTCAAGTCTACAGTTGATTTACTCATCCTATGTTATATAAATTCATATGTATAAATAAATAATATATAACAGGATGGATAAATCAACTGTAGACTTGACTTGGCATTTTTTTACCATTTAGTTTCGTATCACATATATATATAAGGTATTGAGTCAAGTGCAGTGTGTGTTGCATGTATTACATATATTTACTTGAAGACTAGACATCACTTTGTCAGTAATGCACTAAAATGAGCAACAATTTTTTAAGAAATTAAAAAAATACACACCTAAAGCAAGTAACTAAACAAGTTAATAAACTGCGTGCCATGAACTGTTACCCAACTGAAGCGTTGTCTTTCAGTTTTGTAAGCCATCCGTATGAGTACGATTAGATTGACAGCTGTCAAAATCAGACATCCGCTGACAATTATCACATGACCATCTCGCGGGCTCAGATGAAAGACCAGTCGTTTTGTCCCTTCATATAAGCTGATGTAAAATGTCACACTTACCAATTCAACATAAAAACGAAACTACCTCGGGCAGAGCTATCAGTCGGCTGACGGTCGTTTTAAGTTTTATTGGCAAGCCAAATTAAGGTCAATTGACAGCTGTCAAAATGGGGTATGTGCAGACCACTATCGGAAAACTAATAACGTGGGCTTAGGTTCGCTCAGGTACACGATCTGTCATTTTCCACTACAAGCCGGACGGATATGTCTTACTCACACTCGTAGTCTGTTAATTCGAATATTGGCCATTCTAATGAAGGTAAATTGACCGCTATCAAACTAGAGTATACGCTGACATCATCACCTGACTGTATCGCGGGCTCATTTTTCTATCCATTGAGGTCAAGTAGTCCTTAAAGTTTTCCGCTGATATTTTATTTGATCACGGGCTCAGTTCCAAGCCCACTAGCTTAGAAAATCTATCCATCCTAGAAAATTCGGCAATCACGTGACCGTACACTGACCATCCGACCTGCTGTCCGTCCGCACCACAGGCATAACAATGTTTAATCTCACACTTTGTAGCTAGTTTGGGAGCCTGCAACCTGATATTGTACATCCATGTTTTGATTAATTTACAGGTAACAAATAGTGTTTCTGCTGACCAGTATCGCCTGACCATATCGCGGGCTCAGGTATCGACCCACTGAGTTCGAGTGTTTTTTTGAAGTTATCCGCTGACATGTTGCTACTTTTCAAATGATCACAGGTCAAGTTCATTTTTTTTAGATGCATATTAAATAAGTCGTGTTCATGAGCCGCACTTTTAAAATTTTGATTTCGAACTGACCTCGGACACGAAAATTCAACCGGCTTTTACACGCAGGGAAGGCAATCGCTTTTGACTTTTCTCACTGTCACGCGTTGATCACGCTCTACGTCCAAGTTTTATGTTCTGATTGGTAAAAATTTGACAGGTGAGTTCATGCAGGTGATCACGCTCTACTTCCAAGTTTTATGTTCTGATTGGTCAAAATTTGACAGGTGAGTTCATACGGAAAATTTATGCAGCGTTTGCAGCGTCTGGAAACTTTCTTACTGATAGCTGAAGCTGACAGAGTTTTGTGTCATCTTGTGATGTTTTAAACGGCCTTTTTCTACTTGATGTACAAAATGAAATACAGCTACTATCAAGATTGTTCTGTAATTCAGGGCTGGATTTTTTATTGCGCTTTTTGTGACTTCTAATTATGACTCTGTTTTATTAGTCCCAAATTACTTCTCTCGGAATACTCACTTTTACCACTCCGAAAAATCCATATGGATGAAAACTAAACTTATCACAATTTGAAAAGTCTAAAAGGTATAGAAGACTTATAAAATGACACTTTTACACTCAGTGCACAATACAGATGAAAACCAAAGGCTGAATCTCTTATCACTATAGAAAACTGTTAAGTGTATTGATACTTACAATGATAACCGAAAAATCAAATTAATTCACTGTTTGATTCTTAATAGTACACGAATAGGAAGGACTCTCTTTTTCTATCTCGTTCACTTTGATTGCACCCCTAGTAGAATCCGCCTTTTTTGCGAGAAACTGAGTGAGTTTAAATTAATTATCACAAAGAAGTTAAAAGAACGCGATTACACTGCCGTTGTCTAATAATTACGCCCAGCGAGCACTGTGCCTGAAATGGACATTTATTCTTATTTTGTTCTTCACTTGTTTAATTGTCGCACATTTTAGGCAACACCCGAACGCAAAACTTTGATCTTACACACGTTCCTGGAAGCCGGATGGCCAAAATAAGAAATGTATATCCACCCAGTTTGTTCCGAATCGAAGTTCCAACCCTTAGGGGTCAAAACCAAGCAAAACCTGTGCAAGACGCGAAACAGTTAGGTTAATTCCCCCTGGGAGCTTATTTCCTTGAAACTCATATGAGGAGAAAAGAGGACACGGCTGGTCCCGTGATGAAGTTACAAACAATTTCTAAGTAAACATGAAATTGAAAGACTTCTAGGTTATGATCAGCCTTGAAACTACCTTACATCACTGAAATATTTAAAAATTCTGAGAAGTCTGTTTAGACCCATGCCTCTACTTGAGAAGTTAGGAATCTTTAGTAAAGCTCGGCTCTAACAATTCCATATTGACCATTATGTTTTCAGGCACGCTGCCCGTCTTACTTTTCTGGGTAATCTCCCCCTTCTTGAACTCCAAAGCAAAGAGAGAAAAACGAGTTAGCTTGAAAAGGTCGCAACACGAACGTCCCCATCCCCCCTCCCCTTATCCCCTAGCCCCCACTGCGCCACTTAAGGTTTACAGAGTATAACGTACATTTCAGACAGGATGGTGTGTCCCTTTAAGAATTTGCTGTATGCAAACGCACCTCACTGACAAGTGGATAGGCCTGTCTCCCTCTTCATTTTCAAGGTCGTACTGGATGCTGCCTCCTCGTCTTAAACAAAACAGTCGCCACTTACGGCCCCACATCTCAAAGCTTGGCGAACATATGTCGCCGTAGCAGTTCGGGATGCTCCATCTGTATGCTCCCGCCTCACCTGTTCTTCGTATCTTAACATGAACCTACTTCTGTGGAAAAAAGTACCACAGGAGGCGTTTACAACATTTTTCTTGGGTGAAATACCGTATCAGCAGGACAATTGTTACGCTTGTTTTTAGATGAAATCACGAAAAACATAGGGGGAGCTCGAGGAGTTTCCAAGGTGCATTGCAACTCTATGTACACAGTCGGCTAAAACAGCGAACATTTTTTTCTTTTTGCAACAATCTGGCAACGAAGAAAAATAGTCTCCATAGGCAAATGCGAAAAAAGAGTCATGATCAGTTTTCGTTTTAATCAAAGCTTCAGAAATGAGAATGACGCGAGTGTTCCTCGAAACAAAATTTTGGACATAACGTTCCCCCAAGGTTGTAAATTTTCGCAAAAAGCAAGTTTACGTTTCTTACAAACAAATTGCTTTCTTGTTCTCTTCGCGGGGAGTGAGCAACAGATAAATTTTTCCCAGCAATCACTAAAAATGCTTAAAATGGCTTCAGAAAGCTTTATTCAAGCTTTGTTGTTGTTTTTAGTTCTTTTTCTCAAAATTTCCCGTTGGGTGTCCATGTATCTTCAAGTCTAAAGAAACAATTCCACGAACGAGAAAAGTCAATTGTCTTATTAGCAGAGACTTTCAGTTATTATGTAAGGGCTAGCTGCTGCTCGTTTCCTGACCATATTTCAAAAATCTGCTTTCGATACGATAATGTCTTTGCAAATATAAGAGATCATAACAATTGCAGGCGATGCCAAGAAAGGTACCAACAGTTTCCTTTCCAAAACGAATTAGAAATAAAGTTTCAAATGCGTCTAACTCACCGTAGCTTGAATAAAAACAACCAGTAGGATGACCGTACTATGTTTTCTTCACTCGATGGCTTACGTCATTCCACATCATGCGCAATTTCTTCAAATGTTAACCGGCAACCGCCGTGAACTTTCGCGCGCAACTTGAAGGAGTTACGTCACAGTAATCTTGGTGTGCAAGTGAGGCCCCTTTCTCACCAGTTCGGTTTTCGTATTCCAATGTAGATATAGACTTAAATTACATAAACTATTATGTATTTAAAAAATTGTACAGCACTGCTTTAGTTAACCATTTGCATTATGGGCTAGGTCAAGAAACAAAATAAATAAATAAATAAATATGATGAAGGTGACATATAAACAAACAAGCAAGTATTTAAATAAAAAAGGTCAATGAGATATGACGGGGTTTTACAATTGGGGGTTTACAAAATTTAGATGCCTCAATAGTACACCACCCATACCCGGTAATTATGGGCCTACCTG